AATTCTTAACCTTCCTCTCCTTGCCCAATAGGATGTAGATTTGGGGCATGTTGGAAGGTGTGTTGAGGTAGACCGAATCTCCCAGGTCTCCCAGGAAGGGTGTTTGTGGGGGCTGGATAGGGTCCCCGGTTCTTCTCAGGCCCATGAAGATCCCCTGTGTTTGGCTCACAGTATGTTTTTGCATTTCAATTTGGACCAATAATTTCGGCCTCTAGGGTCTTGGTGGGCATCATGCCTGCTCCACACACTTTTAGTGAGAAAGTCTGTTTAGACCTGGGTGTCTAAACCAGGGAAGGCAAGAGGTCCTTTGAGGCGAGGGCCCTGTGGTGTGTTTGTGCATGTTTGGCGCTTCTCGGTGTCCTGGTGCTGCGTTGGCAGGCCAGGGTGTTTGCTTGGTAGCAGAGCGGCTGGCTTGCAAATGTGAAGTGGAGCACTGAGTGTTGTGTGTCTGTTTTATGACTTGTGCATCCACCTCCACAGGGTGGTTGGAGTCAGTGTGCCTTTATACCACCTGTGTGTTCTGTGCCTGGGTCTGGTTGTGGTGTAGGAGCCCATTGGTGATATGTCTACTTTGGTGCCCTGTTGACATGTGAGAGTATGTGTCTCCAAGGAGGTGTGTGGCAGATTGGGAGTCTGGGCTTCTCAGCCCTGGGCCTCGCAGCTGGGAGCGTTTACAGCCGGTTATAAAGAGTTTGTTTGAAGCTCCGCTTAGCCTGGCCAGGAATTTCCTCAATTTCAGCAATTTGGGCTTTAAAAGGAGAAAAACCCCGAGCCCACCTCCTCCTCCCCAGCAGGGGCCTCAGCCTAGCCCGAGAGCCAGCCAGCATCGTGAAGGTGGGGGCTTGGTCAGGGAAGGGGATCTGAGCTGAGTTGACCCAATTCACCCTCCTGCACCCTTGGCCCACTGGGCAGCACGTTAGGGTTCAGGGGGTGGGGGTGTGCCAGAGGGTGCCGAGAAGGGGTGACAGTGCCACTTAGATGGGAAAAGCCGCCCCGGGGCCTGTTTCCCTGTGGTCCCCAGTCTTATAATTGGCTGGCACTGCCCCATGCCAGTCTGACCACACCCAGGCCCTTTCGAAAGAGAGGAAATGAGGCAGCGCTCTGCGGGCAGGGAGGGCGTCAGCAGTCAGCACCACCCAACACAGTGGCCTGTGGCAGCACATGTACCCACAGAGGACACCAGGAGGGGTCCTGAAAGGCATTCCAACCGTCCCACATCTCTCAGCCCCAGCCCCTCCAGGAGTCTCCCGCCCTCTGTCTGAATTGATTCCAGGCACCCTACTTTCCTCCACTCCTCTTTCTCTTTTCTTTGGGGACTTTCCTCCAGCAGGATTCTTATGTTAATGGAGTGTCTGCCTGTGTTTGGGGGGCGGAAGGGCTTCCCTCCTGTGGGGTGGGTGGAGCTAGCTGGGACAGGCTTCCTGGGCCTGCCTTCTGCCCTTCTGGGGCATGGGGCGACTTCAGACCAGGTGGGCTGCAGCGGTGAGAAGGAAGATGTTCATGAGGTGGGTGCGTGGGACACTCCTTAGGGAGGGTCTTAGGGTTTTCTTGCATTGCTTGGGCCCTCCAGCTTTGGGGAACAGGTCCTACAGGTTGAATAATTTACAGATTTTTCCAGCCTCGGAAGATCAACCAAACACCCCAAAAACGTTTACATAGCAGCTTGCTGAACAGAGGGTGTCCTCCTCACACATTCTGTGTGGCGTGGCCTGAGACCCCTTTTGAGCTGCAATTGGGTATTTGTGGGGAAGCTTAGGAGTGAAGACATAGGCTCAGAGAAGGTCCAGAGATAACTCCCCTCCCCCAACAGCCCTGTTTACCCAGTGTCACCTGACTTCTCGGTTTGCTACACCCCCAACAGCATCTAGACCTGAGAATCTGAGCAAATACCTCAGCCTCCTCTTTCCCAACTTCTGGGACTCTCAGGCCACTCAGATCTAGTCAGAAGACCTGAGAGCCTTGGCCCCACTGTCAACTGGCAGTGTGGCACTGGGCTGGTTACTTCCCTCTCTTGACCTCAGTTCCTTCAGATGTAAAATAAGGCTGTTACATAGCCTCTAACCTACTTTCTTGATACCTGTGTCCCATTTGCTCCACTGTCTCAATGGTTTCTGGGGAAAAGGACATTGGCGGTTATTTCGTAGGCAGTATGAAAGGGGAAAGTTTGAAGATTATCTACCCTGTACTACTGGAGAGAAAATGAGGTCCTGTTCTACCTACTGAGTATCCCAACAGGTCATTTAGCAAGCTGCCAGCTACAGGTGGCCTGTAATTGCCTATCACCCCCAGATCTATTGCCTCATGAGGAGGAGGATGATAGGAGGTAGATTATCTGACAAGGATCAATCAATGTGATATAGGGTGTGATTAAAGAGTTCAGAGCCACGGGCCATGACCCCTTCACCTACCTACTTTATAGTTGGGGAAACTGAGGTCCAGAGAAGTTAACTTCCAGATGGCCTTGCCCTGGAATTTGGAGAGTTGAACAGTGTCATGTAAGCTTTGGGTTGGCGTTATTGTTGGGGGAGATGGCCAGACTGGGAGGTGCAGTAATAGTGGTTGTTTGGGGGTTTCTGGAAATGTTTACCATGGGGCTGTCCATGGTTTTTGGGACTTTAAATCACTGTGATGGTGATGGTGTTGTTATTACTGAGCAGGAGGAAGAAGTGGGAATGGGTGTGTGTGTATGATAAGGATGCCTGGAGATCTGAGGGGTCCTTCTCCCCCAACTCTCATATCACACTGCTTGCCCCCCAGCGGTGGAGACACAGAGCACTAGCTCGGAGGAGATGGTGCCCAGCTCGCCCTCGCCCCCACCACCTCCTCGGGTCTACAAGCCGTGCTTCGTGTGCAATGACAAGTCCTCTGGCTACCACTATGGGGTCAGCTCTTGTGAAGGCTGCAAGGTGTGTATGTGGTGGGGTGGATGCGTTGGGCATCCGGAGTTACCTGCTGAGATCAGAGACCAGGGGTGAGACGCTGTGTGTGAGTGGGTAGCCCTCTGGGGTGGGAGGGGCCTGCTTTGCACATAGGTGGTTAATAGATTGGGTCAGGCCTGGGGCAACCTGCAAGGCCTGTGAGAGGCTGATGTTCTCTGTATCCTGCTTCATTGACACTCCCCCACTCCCAACTCCAGGGCTTCTTCCGACGCAGTATCCAGAAGAACATGGTGTACACATGTCATCGTGACAAAAACTGTATCATCAACAAGGTGACCCGGAATCGCTGCCAGTACTGCCGGCTACAGAAGTGCTTTGAAGTGGGCATGTCCAAGGAAGGTAGGCCTCTAGCCCTGGCCTGGGCAGGCACACTCCTGTCCTAGCCTGTGGTTGCCACCCTCTTCCAGTAGGCCACCTCTACTTCCCTGACCTCTGAGATCTAGCTTGCCTTGGGGTGCTGCTTCCTCCCTGGCCAGTCCTATTTGATTAGCTCCATTCACCCAGGAAGCCCCACCCATTCTCAGGGCTTAATTCACCCTTCCTCTGAATGAGTGAATGGGGGTTACCATCTCACATTCCCATTTCATGGAGAAGTGAGAGGAGGGCTTGCCAGTCCCTTCCCTCCCCTGTTCCCAGGACTGAGTGAGCCTGTGGTGGATCTGGGGTGCCCCCGCCCTGCACCATTGTGCTGCCAAGGCTATAAGTGGATATCCTGCTGCCTGCATATCCTGGTCCCCCCCCCCCCCAGCTCCTGCAGGGTGACAGGAAGGGCAGGATGGAGCCGAAGGGCCTGGGGAAGAAGAAGGGGCTGTAGGCCCTGGGTGGGGTTAGGGAGAGCCAGCTTGGAAGTGGGAGCTAATGTAGGAGACAGGGAAACTGAGGCACTGACTAGGGTCTCAGGGTGAATAGATGTTCATGATCCTCGTCTAACTGAGCATTAAATTAGGGTGACAGGGAATATCCAGAGGGAGTTTCTGAGGGTCCTGACATGCTTCTTGCATCTCTACCCACAAGCTGTGCGGAATGACCGGAACAAGAAGAAGAAAGAGGTGAAGGAAGAAGGGTCACTTGACAGCTATGAGCTGAGCCCCCAGTTAGAAGAGCTCATTACCAAGGTCAGCAAAGCCCATCAGGAGACCTTCCCTTCGCTCTGCCAGCTGGGCAAATACACCACGGTGAGGAGTGGGAAGGGCCCCAGTAAGGGCAGAGGACTGTTCACTTTGGGGGGTGGGTAGGGGTTGAGCACATAAGGAGGGCATCAGAATGCTGAGAGGAGTGCTTTTGGGGTATTGGCAGAAAGAAGACAGTTTGCAAGGCAGGTCTTAGCTTGCATTCTTACCTGCTCTCCCTGCAGAACTCTAGTGCAGACCACCGGGTGCAGCTGGATCTGGGGCTGTGGGACAAGTTCAGTGAACTGGCCACCAAGTGCATCATCAAGATCGTGGAGTTTGCCAAGCGGTTGCCCGGCTTTACCGGGCTCAGCATTGCTGACCAGATCACTCTGCTCAAAGCTGCCTGCCTGGACATCCTGGTAAGTTAATAGCTCTATGGCTTGCCTTCCGCCACAGCCTGACCCTCATAAGAGACCAAGGAGGTGGTACATGCAAAGACTTCATTATCTCTCCTTCCCCCTCCAATCTGGGACTCCCCAGATCTCCTCTAAACTCAAGCCCATTTTGTCTTAAGCCCTGCCCCTAAGACCTGATCCCATACTTCTGTACCCTGCCTCCTGACTTCTTTCCCCAAGCTTCAGATCCTCCTCCTCTCCATCTTCTTCCCCATGTCTGCTTAAGGGTGCACTCCTTCTGGACCTAACCTCTTCACTTTCCATGTGCACCTCATTCTTTCTTTATCCCCACCCCCATATGTGCCCCTCTCCAGAGACAGCACTAACCCTACCCCCGCACCTCCAGATGCTGCGGATCTGCACAAGGTACACCCCAGAACAGGACACCATGACCTTCTCCGACGGGCTGACCCTGAACCGGACACAGATGCACAACGCCGGCTTTGGGCCCCTCACAGACCTTGTCTTCGCCTTTGCTGGGCAGCTCCTGCCACTGGAGATGGATGACACAGAGACGGGGCTGCTCAGTGCCATCTGCCTCATCTGCGGAGGTGCGATGGCGCCCCCTGGTGTTTTCTTGGGTTCCTTCCCCACCACACCTCACACCTGATCTCTGACCAGGCTGGAGAACTTCGTCCCTCCCCTTGGGATTGCTCTGTCTGGCCCCATCCACAGACTTCTTAGATCCAGGGCAGGCTCCCTGCATCCTGGAACATAGGACAAAAAAGGGGTAGAGGCAGGGGGAGCTGAGGAGACCCCCCAGATACTGGTGCTGAGATAGGTGTTTGGGCAGGAGTGATTTACCAGTGCAAACCTCTTACTGAAGGGGAGGAGGTACAGGGGAGATGGCCTGAGTGGGGCTCAGGGACATTAAGCAAGGGGCTGATGGGACAAAGTTTGGGGTCTGGAGGTCCATAAAGCAGGGCCAATTGGGGATTGGCCACTTGTCTCTAGCTGCCCCACCTCTTCCTCTCTCACTCCACTGTGCTTGTCTACATAGACCGCATGGACCTGGAGGAACCTGAAAAAGTGGACAAGCTGCAGGAGCCACTGCTGGAAGCCCTGAGGCTATATGCTCGGCGGCGGCGGCCCAGCCAGCCCTATATGTTCCCAAGGATGCTCATGAAGATCACTGACCTCCGGGGCATCAGCACCAAGGGTTAGTCACGAGTGAGATTCCCCTTTCTCTTCCCAGAGGTGCTGGACAGGTAGAGACAAGAACAGAGTGGGTGAGAACCAGGCAGCCTGCGCTGGAATCTAGCTCTGTCACATGGTAGTGGGGAGACTTTGGGCAAATTCCTTCACTTTTTCTTTGTGCCTTGTTCTCCTGTTTGTAAACTGAACTATACTTATACTTACCTCATAAGTTATTGTGAGGACTAAATGAGTTAACACACAACAGGCTTAGAACTGCACTGAATTAAAGTCTGTTCCTCAGTTGCAGTAGCCACATGTGGCTATGCCTACTGTATTGGATAGAGCAGATATTTCCATCATTGCAGAAATTTCTACTGGACAGTGCTGGTTTAGAAGGATGCCTGGCAGATAGTAAGTGTTTGATAAATAGTAGGTATTATTATAAGTGTTAGTAAGAACAGGGACATCTGGGGGTCGGCCAAGTGGCTCAGTTGGTTAAGAGCTCGCTTCAAGAGTTTGAGCTCTGAGCAACAGCGGTTCGAGTCCCGGTCCGAGCTGAGCAGCTGCTGAGCTGCCAACAGGTGGCAGGATGGCTCAGCTTAAGAAAAAAAATAAATAAATAAAAATAAGAACAGGGACATCTGGCAAGCTGTGGGCATTAAGGGTGGGGTGCCTGGGGAATGGGGCTGGAAGTTGGGCATGGTGTGATCTTTGAGAAGATAGCCTGAAAGAAAGAGACAAATGGGCAGCAGCTTGGCAGAGAAGACAGGTAGAGGCTCTAGGCAGAGGAGTGGACCCCAGGAACCCTAAATTAGGGAGAGGGTGAGCTGGGACGGAGAGGTGACAGACCTGTGCTGGGAGCCCCCAGAGGGGAGATATAGGGCAGTTGAGAAAGGTTAGGGAGGTGGCCTCAAGGGACATGTGCCTCTGCTTCCCTGAAACTCTGCCCTTCTATTGCAGGAGCAGAGAGG